GAAATACAACTGCACTCAGCTTCGTAAGGCAGCCATTGCAGTCACAAAGCTAACAACAGGGAAGATGCCTCACCCTAAGCAGGTGGTCTATGGGGAGAGGTCCATTGATTTGGTGTTTGGGTTCCTCGGAGTCGGAGACTTTGATCTTGCAGAGTTTTTTGGCGTTGAAGCTCCAAATCGTATCACCACTCTGGCAACTACTGAAATGCTTTCTGACCGCCTCATTAATGTGTTTGGTGATGATCCGCAATTCACAGACCAAAAGATTCTCCAAGAGATGAAGGAGCAGATGCTAGCAGACCTGAGAAAAGGCAGGAAGGAAGAGTATCACAGCCCAGCTGGTATTGTCCTCCTCTTTGATCGCTCAGGAGGGAAGCTGACCCCAGCTATGGCAGACGTAATTGCAAAACAGAAACTGAGTGCAGTTCATCACGACAACCTCATTGCGAAGATCCGTGAAGAGTGGGACAGTTGGGACTTAAGAGAGGAAGGAGAGAACAAAGGAGATGGACGACTTGAATTTGATTCTTTCTATCATGGGTTCATGGCTCCATACTTTGGCTGCTACAGGTGTGGTAGGACCAAGAAAGGTCTCAAAGCTCTCGATATGGACAATGATGGCTTCGTTGATTGGAATGAGTTCCTAGTCTACATCAAGTGGGCCCTTCGTCAGTATCCCGACACTGAAGAACCTGACGATTTGCTGTCCATTGTATTTGAGAAGGGCCTGATGCCAGCTATGAGAGATGAGAAGATCAGGAGAGAAAGGATCGTTGACTAAACCTCATTAGCAGGTCGTTTCAGAACATGATTAGTACTTTTAGACTTTTAAAGTTCATAGTTTCATCAGTCTTAGCATAGAGATGAATTTAGGGCTAGTAAAAATAATAATGATTTTTGATTTAGGTTTTTTTTTCTTTAATGAAAATGTTGTTCCTCAATTTTACTGCGATTGAGTTTGCACTTTGAGCACCAGTAGCAAGAATAATAGTACCTCTCAGCAGCAAGCTCCACACAATTGGAGAAAGAGAGTATGAATTGCAAGTTTGCTGTAATTAAAATTGAATTGTCTAAATCTTATTAACAGCACGTATAATTAACATATTCACACGTTCACGCAATAGACTTTAATTCAATTCTATTATGATTTATATTTATACACAGTACAAGATCACACACATTTTGAAGTCTCTTCAAACTTCATGCACTTGTCTTCCTTTTATCATTTTTGGTGCTCATTTCTTCTCTTATTTTCAACCAATCATTCCAGTTACGTAGTTCATAGCTCAACCTACACCTCCTATGGATCTAACCAATCAAATGCCAGTGCTCGCTGGAATCTGTTTAACAATTTCTTGTCTCAATTTAGAAATAATTGATTTTCTACGCTCCTCCATCTCTCTCTCTCTCTATTTCATTTTATCTCCTCTCCCTGATGTGGTTAATGCGGGTAATAACCTCAAACTGCCCATGTCCCATGGGTAATTTGAGGGTATTACCACATCATAGAGAGGAGAGAAAATAAAATAGAGAGAGAGATGGAGGAGCATAGAAAATGAATTATTTCTTAATTAAAACAAGAAATTATTAAACTGGTTCCTCATAGTCCAATACATGATAGCATGATGATTATGATACATGAGTACAATCAATACATACAGTATAATGATAGTCTCGATAAATGATGCATGATGTGCACATTAGTTTAAGGATTACAGTACATGTATACTGCTGACTCCACTTTAGCCTTTACACTGACTCTGAAGTACAGACTATCATCTTTCAGATACTGACAGTTAGCAGTTGGGTTATACTCCAACTCTTCATGAGATATGAACCTTCTCCTCCCCCATCCTTTAGCTCTGCCCTCTTGTGATTGGACCCGTTCCTTACAAGGGCCCTCAGTTGATTCATTATAGCATATGGTGATCTTCTTATGATTCTGATCCTCCAGTTGATTCAGTAGCTCCACAGTAACTTCACCTTGAAATGGCCACTCCAATGAATTGTCATATTCTCCAGCCATTAGACACACAAAGAAAGAGAGGTGCATACCTTTACTGGTACCCTGTCCATTAGGAAGAACATTCAATGACATCTTATAACCTCCTGGTGACGTGTAGAAACCAGGG